TATATCTAAAAAATAAAAAAATAAAAATAAATTTATTAAAAATAAATAGAGAAAATATGTAGTAAATTGTACCTTAGGAACATAAAATAGATAAGTGTAATGATAGATATGATAAAAAACTTATAATGAAAATTTAGAATTAATAATGTAGTTTATGTTATATCATAAAATTAGTTGCTATATATAATATTATGGTTTAAGAAAACAAAAAGAGTTAATTAGAGTGTTGATATTTGATCCAATTCAATTAATATGATTGAAATTGATCTAATCCAATAAAAAATAAAACTAATCCAATATAAAATTGGATTAATTTGAATTATAAAATTTTAAAACTAATATAATTGGTTTAGTTTGTGGTTTTACTGTCCAACTGCTCAAATCGCTTGATTACAAAATAAAATCTAATTACAAGTTAATTTAATTAAATAATATAATTTTTTTAGTATTTTAAATTTTCTCTCTTTTTTTATTTTACAAAATAATTACTCTATTAACTTAATTAAAAAATAAAAATAGTACATTTCCCTTTTTTCTTTTTTTCTTTTTTTTTTTCAATCGTATACTTTAACCCTAATTCTAAATTTCTAATTTGCCAACAAATCTCCCCCTCAGAGTTGGTGTACAACTTTACTCTTAAAACCATAAATTTTTAATTTGTTTTGATGTGCTAAATTTATGTATATTAATATGGAATTTCCACCAACAACTTTAGTAGTTAAGTGATAATCTCTTTCCGTTGAAAGTAAGAGATTTTGAGTTCAAATCTTATGGCATGTGGGTGAGGTAGGATAAGGGATCGAAGAGGGTTGTATCTCGTTGTACAACCAGCATAAAAAAAAATATGGAATTTCTATTTTGATATTATTAATATTTGGATGAATTTTATAAGATTTTACATGATTTTCATTTTTTGAGTAAAAAAAGACTAGATAGAATACATAATAATAGGAGTTTTTCAGATTAATTAAACATTTTTTGAAAGTTGAGGGACTGAATTGCAAGAAGAAAGAGACTTATTTGGGATCTCAATGAATGAATCTTAAGTTTTGGGATCTAAATGCTCATTTTAAAAATTTTGAGGACCCAGTCTGCAATTTTACCATTGAAGAAATTGCAAAAGCAGACTAAAATCCAACGCGGGTGTAGTGTCGACACGTAATTTACAGTGTCGGTGCCACACGTTCAGCGCCCAACACTCAAGTTCCCAGTTTTGTTTCAAGTCTTACTTATTTTAATAGAATTTTTTAAATTCTATAAATAGTCATTCAAAAATCAGTTTTAGGGCTATTGGGAGGAAACCAAAAGAGAGACGACGGAGAGAAATTCAACAACAAAAAGAGATAAAAAATTGAGATTTTATATCGTCAAATTAATTTTACTTGTTCTTAAATTTTATTTTATAATGTTAGATACTTGTATATTCATTATGAGATTGTTGATTTTTTTTTCCTTTAATTATGAGTTGATTTAGCGATGGACCAATGTAATTCGTGCATCATTAGTGATAAATAGACTTAATTTTCTATCTAAACTAAAGAATTTCACATAATATAATGCATTTTTATCTATCTAAATTCACATAAAGATATAATGGGTTAATATGTGAAGGTATAACTTGAGAAAATATATCAAATAAGATAAGAAATCCTATTGTCACATAAATAATAAATAACTTAGAAGTATATTAATCTAAATTTTATATTAGTTGACTATGATGAAATCAGGTGCTTTAGAATTTTAACTCTTAATGTTACTTAAAGGCAATTTAGTTTTTCTTTAATTAATCTAGTTATTTAGTTTATTCCAATCATTTAATTTCAATTGTTCACATAAAATTAGAATTAGTTAATTTTGGTAATTAATTAGTCTACAGTTTCTGTCCACAATACTTTATTTTCATTATTATATTATTTGAACTGACCATGACACTTGTTAGAATGGAATTAGCTCATCATGTTTCTAAAATAATATTTTAATTCTCTTAACTAAATTTTAAAGAAGTATCATTCTAAAAATCTTAAAACTATATAATAAAATTGGTCTTGATATTCTACTATTTTTAGATGTTTAGTTAAGGAATTTAAAATTTTGATTATAAATATTTTTAATCAATTTCAGTGATATTCACATTAAACTTTATTAATTTTTGACGGAGTTTGAAAGATGAGACTGAATCATTTGTTGCATTAAGTAAAAAAATATAGATTTAATATTTAAGAGTTACTTGCATTGTATTTGAAACTTAGAGTTATCTTTTATTGTCTTTGGTGCTTCTAATGAGGTAATCAAAAAGAATTTTTAAATCTTTTCAATTTTTACAATTGTAAAGGAGTATAAAAATTTATTTTTTATATTACCTTATATATTTAATAGTGTTAAAAACCGATCAATCTAATCAAATCACATCAATTTGATTTAAATTAAATAAATTTAATTATCATATAATAAATTAAATTAATTTGAAAATTTTACTAATAGATTGAATTAGATTAATTTAAAAATTATTAAAATTGGAACCAAAACACACTGTAAATACCTCTCGCCTCAACTCAACTATTAGATAATATAAAATTTATTTTTTAATGTTTAAATAATTTAATTTATACCATATTATTAATATCAGATTTTAATCTTAAATATTAATCAAATTTATAATTATTTAATAAATAAATTCTACGGAGAAAATTTTTATATATATAAAGGATATATTACAGCGATTAATTGAAGTAATCGGCCTTCCGTTTGGTTGTTGAGTCACCGCCCTTTCACTTCCTCGACGAGTCCGTCCTGAGAGACTGCTTTGCTTCCTACAAAAAGCCACCACCAACCCATTCCTAATACCTTCTTTCTCTTCCCTCAACAACCCCATTTTCCCCTTCCCTCAATCTGCCATGGAGGCTTCGGTTCTCTCTCGCATAGGCCTTGCGGGTCTCGCTGTCATGGGTCAAAATTTGGCCCTCAATATCGCCGACAAAGGCTTCCCCATCTCCGTCTACAACCGCACCACCTCCAAGGTCGACGAAACCCTTCACCGGGCTCATGAGGAGGGCCAACTTCCGCTTTTCGGTCGCTACTCACCGCGCGACTTTGTCCTGTCCATCCAACGACCCAGATCCGTTGTCATCCTTGTCAAGGCTGGCTCTCCGGTCGATCAGACCATCGCTGCTCTCTCTGACCATATGGAACCTGGAGACTGCATCATTGATGGTGGAAACGAGTGGTATGGGAACACCGAGCGACGAATCCAGGAAGCAGCTAATAAGGGTATTCTCTATCTGGGTATGGGCGTTTCCGGTGGAGAAGAAGGCGCCAGGAACGGGCCTTCGTTGATGCCTGGTGGGTCTTATGAAGGGTATAGCAACATTAAGGATATACTTGAAAAGGTAGCTGCGCAGGTCGAAGATGGACCCTGTGTTACTTACATTGGAGAAGGGGGATCTGGGAACTTTGTCAAGATGGTTCACAACGGAATTGAGTACGGTGATATGCAGCTGATTTCAGAAGCCTACGATGTACTGAAACACGTTGGGGGATTGTCAAATGAGGAGCTGGGTGATATTTTTGAAGAATGGAACAGAGGGGAGCTGGAAAGTTTCTTGATTGAGATTACTTCTGACATTTTCAGGGTTAGGGATGAGCTTACAGAAGGGGAATTGGTGGATAAGATTTTAGACAAAACAGGCATGAAGGGTACTGGGAAGTGGACTGTGCAGCAAGCTGCTGAGCTCTCTGTGGCTGCGCCCACCATAGCAGCTTCATTGGATTGTAGATACTTGAGTGGATTGAAGGAAGAAAGGGAGAGTGCATCCTTGGTATTGAAAGAAGCTGGATTGAAGGAGGAAGTAGGGTCTGTGTCCCAAGGAATTGATAAGAAAAGGTTGATTGATGATGTAAGACAAGCACTTTATGCATCCAAGATATGCAGTTATGCTCAAGGAATGAATTTGCTGAGAGCTAAGAGTGTTGAGAAGGGGTGGAATTTGAATCTGGGGGAGCTGGCGAGGATTTGGAAAGGTGGGTGCATTATAAGGGCTGTGTTTTTGGATAGGATCAAGAAAGCTTACCAGAGGAATCCGAATTTGGCCAGTTTGGTTGTAGACCCAGAATTTGCAAGGGAGATGGTGCAGAGGCAGGCAGCTTGGAGGAGGGTTGTGGGGTTGGCTATCTCTGCTGGGATTAGCACCCCTGGAATGTGCGCCAGTCTTGCCTACTTTGACACCTATAGGCGTGCAAGGCTCCCAGCTAATCTTGTGCAGGCTCAGAGGGACTTGTTTGGGGCACATACTTATGAGAGGGTTGATCGTCCTGGGTCATTTCATACTGAGTGGACGAAGCTTGCTCGCAAGAGTAAGCCTGGTGTTGGTGTGCTTAACTGAGCTCTCTAGTTTAGCATACAATAGCTTTTTGCTACTTGTTTGTTTCAATTGGATGTTGGTGGTATGTTTCCCATGGATTAGGTTTTTACATCGGCATAGCAATTATTCTTCAGCCTTGAAGTTTTGCTGTTAATAAGAAATGCATGCCTGTTGAGTCATATAAACCGATTTGTTAATGTCTAGAAGTTGCATCATACCATGCAGTAGATAGAGTTCACTTTCAGAAGATCAACCACCTTTGTCATTTACCAAATAATAAAAAGAGTTTCATTCCTCCTTTTGCATATACAATTCTGTTTTAAGATTCAGATAACAACTTCTTGATGGAAGTGTATGTGGAAGGAATCTAGCTTTGTTATAAAGATGAAAAAATATCAACTTTTTAAGGGAAAGATGTAGTGTGTTTGCTACTTTGTGCTGAATTAGTCAAGATATATTGGGATTTAAAAGGGTAGCTCTTACTACCATTAGTTACTCATTAACTTGTGCTTAGAACAACCTTCTTATGCTTTCTAGTATGCTGCTTGGCTAGGTCATGATTAGTTCCTGCTGGAGCTTGAAAATTGAAACTCCAACAAATTGGGCTGTGAGAAGACAATTGTATTGGTATGTTGCTCTGTGTGGAATTGTGGGTTCTAATATTGGTTTATGCTAGTGAGATAGCTGAATATAGGCTCTTAGTTGTTCTATAGGGCTTACAAGTCTTCAATATAATAGCCGAGAGTTAAATACATGTGGAAGGCGAATAGCTTAGACTTTCATTCTCGGGAATTGAGGGTTTTATACCTGGGATCTCCAGGTCTCAGCTTGTGGTTTCGCTGCTGGATCAAGTTCTCCGGGGGTAGATAGAAAAATCTTGAGCTGCTTCCTGATGTAAACTTATTCAAGGTTTTCTTGCCCTTCATTCTTGTGGAAATTGTATTTATTAGTTTTCCATCAAAAGAAAATCGGCTTTGGTAGGTTTAGATGGTGGTTGGATTGAACCATCAGCCCCTTAAAGATGGTAAGGGAAAACGAAGTAGCTTACTGTTTTCAATTCAATGCGTGTGTTTTGATGATGCCTTATGATGATTTGCTAAGACATGGGGCATGAAACTCAAGGGGTTGAGAGGACAAATATCGGCGTATGTTTCTCTTTCAAGTAAATCTCAGTTCTCAGAGATCTAAACATGCATGCAAGACAGGTGAAAATGATTCACATGCTGAAATTTCATTGCTTTAGAAAACTAACACTTTCTTATCATGTTTTCTAGAATCCCATATTTATTCTTCCCAATTTCTTTGGAAAATATCTACAAAATGAGGTGAAAAGGACGAAGATTAGAAAGGTATGGAAAGGCATCAATTCTCAAGATCTGGCTGAGTTCTAGTCACTGTTGCTGAAGGCAACTTACTATTCCCAATCCATCTATTGCAAAAAATCTCACCATCATCAGCATGCTTTTCCATTGCTTGAATCTCCTTGGTCTGCAAGTGTCTGATCAACACCACTGCAAAATAACCCATCAAAACCAGTCCTCCACAACCCAGCACAATTCCAACTACCCACAGATACCATCGCTTGTGCTTCCTCTCTAGCCCAACAACAATAGAGAAATGACCCTGATCTGTAGCGTTACACACATTGGGAGAGATCATATCGGAAAAATAAATTGCCCCATTGGGCCTAAATGCCACACATTTTGCAGCAGAGATCATGCCATGATGCAATGTCAGGTTAGCAAAATAAACTGATATGGGCTTCCCCATCAAACTGAGGCTGATGTTTCTTATGCCTCTTGCCCTTACATTCGATGCATCATAAACTAAGAAACCGACAACAGAGGTAATCAATGAATAACCTGGGACTCTGTAGTACTGAGAGGACCAATTTCCCAAGTTTTGATAGACTATGGCCATCCTTCTAACGTGAGGAACTGAAATGGTCCTTGGTGGGATGTGAATGTTGCTGAAATTAGCACCCAATTTCCATAACGTCTTGCTTCTGAGCCGTACAACTGAGACCTCCATGCCGGATAGATTACGAGGAAGAACAGCTTTGTAGAGGGCACCCGTTTGCGGTCGGTGTCGGACTAGTGCTTTCAAAGCAGAATCCTGAAGATAGGCATCAAGGCAGTTCCTGGAAGAGTTGGAGCCATGGGCAGATGAAGAGAGATACAAGCAGAGAGCCAACCAGACAAACTTGCAGTACATGTTCGACCTTCACCACAAACAAAGTGGCAATCTGTGTTTGAAAAAAAATGTTTGTGAGAGAAGGGACCGTTTTCCACACTCTAGAGAGAGTTTCACTCTGCTTTGCAGAATAATGACACTTTTCCTAAAAGGCTTCCGAGCATGCTCAAAAGGGCCCCAACAGGGAAGACTAATGAGTCATTTGAACAGATTTTTGAGAAAAATTGTGCCATATGTTGACTCTAATCATCTTCTGTGTTATTGACTTAATTGAGGTGGGTCAGCAGTCAGCTAAGCACAAGCTTTTTTTACTCGCTACAAATGATTCCTGTCAATATAAAGATGAAAAAGAGGGTACCTCAGCCCGTGACATGCGGGAAGCAACTTTAGCATCGCAGTCCTTGCAACAATCAACGAGCTTTGACCTGGCATCTCTCCTGACTTGAAGGCAAAAATCTAGCATGTCGCCTTATAGATTGCGCATGGAGCAATAATGGCAACAGGAATCAGTCATTAAACATGCCAGAATAGAAGTAATGAGAAGGTTAGTAACATGAAAGATGTATGTATTTAAGCACTGAATCAAATATACAATTCTACTGTCTCTAAAGGGAAAAAAATATTTGTATGAATATATATAGTTACTTAATCTAGGCCACGGTATTCTGGCCAAAAAAAAAAAATCTAGGACAAGGTAATAGTGGTCTAAGACTGTTTAGGGAAAACAGAGGAAGAGGGCAATAGTCTACGAGAGCTATCTTGAATTCTTGATAAACTTAATGTCTAATGGTGAGTTCGGCCCTGAGGTGGAGGACGCCCTTAATGAAGTAAATGCTGTCATCGGCCATAAATGCTGTCCAGGGTAAACTAAACAGGTTTCGGTATCCAACTGCCTTTCCCCCAGTGAAAGTGTAGTTCCCTTTATACTTGCTCGCATACTCTTCACTCGGCTTTGTTCTTGCTGCAAACTCGTAGTCAACTGCAAAACTAACAGATCCCTTCTCCTGCATCCCCAGAAATAGCCCAAAGCAATGGAATGAGCTTTGCTGGTCCATGTTGCAGTGAGCAGAGAGGAAAAATCCCTGTCCAGCAAGGTGGAATGCCTGTGAATAAACCCGACCAGCTGGAAAAAGATGAGCACATTCCTCATGGTTCAGGTCAAGGTGAACGACACACTGCTGACGTGGTAGTTCAAACTCCACAACCTTCACCGGACGGTACTTGTAAGCCCGCTCCACAAAGCGATGATAAGTGGCATTGGCCTCCTCTGCTGCAAGAGTGCGCTGCCTGTATGATGTCTCAGCCTTGAAAAAGAGGGCCTCGAGCACAACCTTGGATGCAAGTTCTGGTTCAAAGTCGTTGCAGGTTAAGACTTTCTTCAGCTTTCGGCAAGTCATGTAAGGGAAACGGATCAGCCGACCAAGGCGTGTAGCAAGGACTTCCCTTCGTTCCTCCAGTTTTGGGTAATGATTCCGAGCCCACTTTAGCACAAAATCATAGACAGCATCTTCTGAAGCTACCTGGAGATCATCACTAGAAAGAACTGCCTCTATACCAGCAAGAGGTAGGTTGAGTACATCCTCCTGGAATCTGGCAAAAATACACAACACATTAATTAACAACTAATGGCAAAATTACCACACAAGGAAAGAAAGCGGTTCTGGATACAAGAATGCATTCCTTTACAAGAAAAAAGCAGTTGCAGTTGGCTAACTTGGCTTAGAGAAGTGCAAAATACGAATAGAGTTGAGGACAAGGATACTTACTTAGTTATGTCCTTGTATTGTGCAGCAAGAAACTGATTTGCCGCCTCAGTTAGCGCTTGAACAGCATCTGCCATTAAAACACTGGAAGGAAGGTCCAGATAGAGTAAGGCAGACTCCAAGGTCATAGGCAGGTTTCGCAGCAACCTGCTACAGTATCTCATGCATGAAGCAACCTCAAACTTGTCAGCAGCCATCAGCACATCCAGCAAAGCAGTAGGTGTGGTTGTTGATAAAGTATTGCTGTACATGAAATGAAGGAGGTCCAAAAGGGCTGCTTCTTCTGCTCAAGAAAGATACATTGAAGAAAAACTTTTAGGTTACATTATCTAGTCAATAATGAAGCACTGGCCTATTTAAGAATGAAATGACCTGTAAGTCAATATACAAACCATAACTGATCCCAAATATGAACAAAGTTCAAACCAGGCAGAAACCATACACGAGAAAAGATCAACAAGCATGGTGACAATATTTCATATAAGACAATAATAAAGGGTTTGTTCACAGTATGCAATAAATGAGAAAACCAGAAATGTCTACAAATAGAGTATGTTCCAAGTGTTCCAGAATTTACCAGAAACATGTATCTGAAGAGTTACATGTCGCTGCTCAGACTCTTTCATACCATTTGAAAATAACTACAGAAGCACAATTGAAAGTCAATATGATAACCACAGATAAAGAGAGAAGAAACAAAGCAAAGTCCTCCCCACTCTCACCTTATAGAAAAATGGACTTTTTGCTGCTAAAATTGGAGAACTAATGTGTATGTTCCTCACTCTAAGAACCGTTGAAAAATCCATATTCTGAGAAGAAGCATTACCGTGATCATCATCATCCCCTACCAAACAACCAAATGGGCTCTCAACTTCCATTTTAGGTAGACATTTGAAAAGATTAGGAAAACAAGTACCAACCAGCTGGATTTAAATTAAATCCGTCATCTGAAAGTGGTTCCTCAATCATTGCCACAGCCTCCTCATCTTGATTTTCATAGGCCAAACCATCCTCAGTGTCTGGCAGGTTACAATTTAAAACTTGCTCCTCATCTTGCACAATGACATCTACACCTAGGGGAAACAATGAGAACACTTCAAAACATTTTAAATCAAAGAAGCTAAATCAAGATCAGAAACATTTGCACACACAAATCTCGAACAGCGGCACCAGTGGCCCTGACTTCAAGCACTGATATAGATAGGATGTCATAAAATATTCAAGTACTTAACTTGTTGCCATTTCCAATCCATAAGAATAACATGACCTAGGAGGCTAGCACCTAGTGTAACTTACTGGAAGCATACACCTCATCTCAATGCCGGGGTTAAGCATAAGTTCTTAAGTAAACAATCATCCCATGCAAGTACGAACCCACCACTTAAAACCAATCAGCCATTAAAATTAAATTTGCATACAAAAAGCTAGATATAAATTTCACCCGGGGATAAGTAAATTCGTTAAATTTTCAACAATTTGGCATCAAATAGCAACAAAACTGAGCAGGAAAAGGATTCATTAATAAAGGGAAGAACAATAACACACTAAAAAAGGCAAACCATTATCTTTCTTGATACCTTCTCGGCGCCTCTTCCGGTTCCGCGCCCAATCAGCGATGCTAGAACAAGCATCACTGTCGGACTTGCTCTCCGGCAAATCAGGAATTATCTCGATCCTGAGGACCCGATCAGAGAAATTACTATCATCGAAGGCGAAACCGAAGTCGGCGTCGGCAGCAACCGACCCTGAGGCTCCTCCACCGGGCGAGAAGTCAGACTCCATGTTCGCCATCGGATCGAATAGATCCACGATTTCGATGGCTCTCCAGAGCAACGAAACTCAGAATGCAGGAAGAAAACACGAGCAAAAATCTTCGGAATCGGATTCGGGGAATTGGAACAGCCGACTAAAAAGGTTTCTGGAGTTGCGGCGGTGGCGCGGGTTATGCCGTAAGCCTATGTGTTCCGGTTTTAGGAAATTGTTTATTTTTCGTTTTTTAAATTTGTATGGGCCTGTTTTGGGTCTATTGAACTTAATAACATTGGGCTAGCCACAAGCTATGATGAACCCATTTTTCAAATATTGGATTTAAGAAGGTTGAATTTACCTGCGGAGAGTCCAATCTAAACTGGGCTTTCTGAACCATTTTGATTCAAACAAATTGAGCCTAAGATGGGCCTTTGGTATGTCTTGTGATCATGTAAAAAAAATCCCCTGCCCCCACCAAAGAAGCCTTTACTAAGTAGTACTCTTTGCCTGGGTTATTTAAACAAATTGAGCCTAAGATGGGCCTTTGGTATGTCTTGTGATCATGTAAAAAAAAATCCCCTGCCCCCACCAAACAAGCCTTTACTAAGTAGTACTCTTTGCCTGGGTTATTTTCAGAGTCTTAAATAATTATTTTTTTATTTTTTTAATAAATTTAAAAATATAATAATTAATTAAAATAAAAAAAATATAACATTAATAATTAAACAGTATATAACAATAATAACATCTTCCGTATTCCTTGTTTAGTCATATCAGATGAGCCATCAATTATTTCTCTGAGAAATGTGAAATGTTATTCCAAACTTTTGAAGCAATCGAGATGTCGTGTCTTGAGTTATGAATGGAAAAAATTTTACAGTGGAAAAAAAGAAGAAAAGGGTGTAGGTCCAACATCAACTTCCCAAACAAGTAAAGATTTGTGTAGCTTTTTGTAATTGTAATAAATTAGGTAACTTTTTTTACTCTAAATCTTCTCTTCGGGATGACATATGCAAAACCCTAAGGTAAATTTTTGGTTAGAGATTTCGATACTTAAATCAGTAATAGTCTGATTAATTTTTAAAAATTATGAAAAAATAAGTTTTAAATTAGTTCTAATTACTTTTTTTAGGTGATCCTTAAAAATATTTATAAATTTTAATAAAGTATCTACATGACTTATTTAACAAAATAATTAAAGTTTGAGTTGTCCATTCAAGCGATCATCTGAAGAATAAAGAATCGGGTGCAGGTATATCTATTATAGCTATCATACTACTGCACGACCGAGAAGAACTAAACTTGCAAGCTATTTCAATTATTAATGAAACATGACAGTACGTCCGATATCCTTAACTTTGAATTTATCCTTACACTTTTCCTTAAGTAGATATCTTGCTTATTGTTATTCATGGTAGGCTGATGACATCATTTTTTACGTAGAAGGGTGCAATGTGACGCTGTGATCGCTTCAATTGACCTTTCTGTTCAGTACATGTTGGGTCATGAGTCACACTCACACATATCACTGTAAATATGTGTCGTCCTCTTCACCATTTCCGTGTTCAAAATGTTGGGTTTAGAGTAGAGAAGTCTACTGCAGAGCAGTACGTGGTAGCTCTCACGTGAAGAGTCTTTATAAGATTTGAGTTTTGAGTACGATTCATTCTTTCTTCCTCGAAAATGTAATTTTGTTTAAATATATATATATATATATATATGGGTTTAGGGTACACAATATCATTGTCTTGTGGGCAACCACAACCAGAGGATGCCAAGCAAGAACTCGAAATTCGTTTGGGTAAATGAATATTGGTTGATGAGAGTTAAATTTGACGGAAAAAGAAGGTGTAGTAGGATTACTAGGGGCATGGTTATGGCAATTGGTAACTTTGGTGAAGGTTATTAATAATTATTAAATTTTTATTTTAATTTAATTGTTAACATAATTAATATTTATTATTTAATAAATTAAAATAAATTCATTTATAAATAAATATTCTTAAATATCATAACTAATTATTAAA